CTATATGTGTGTATATATATATATATATATATGCATATAGTTTTTCATACAAGAGAAACCATATGATATTTAAGCTATTGTGTCTGACTTATTTCACTTAATATTATGGTCTCAGAGGGCCAGGGATTTAGCTCAGTGGTTCCACAGCTTTCTTCACAAGTGCAAGGTCCCAAGTTCGATTCCTGGTACCAAAAAAAATCATGGTTTCAAGTTTTATCCATTTATCTACAAATGCCTCAAGTTTATGTTTATTTATGGCAGAGTAATACTCCATTATATATAAATAACATTTTCTTTCTTTATTTCTTTTTCTTTTTTTGCGGGGGGTGGTTACCAGGGATCAAACTCAAGACCTCGCGCTTGCCAGGCAAGTGCTGTGCTGTTGAGCTAAATCCAAGGCCCTTAACACATTTTCTGTATCCATTTATCTGTTTATGAGCATATAGGTCATTTTCAAGATTTAGCCATTATAAATTGTTCTGCTGTAAATATGGATATGTATATATCCTTGTAATCAGATGTCTTTGACTCTTTCAAAAAGATCCGAGAAGAAAAATATCTGATTCAAATGGAATTTCTATTTTTAGTTTTTTGAGAATGTCTACCCTGATTTCCATAGTCGTTGAACTAGTTTACATTCCCACAAACAATGTAGAAGAGTTCCTGTTTCCCCACATCTTTGTCAGCATTTATTACTTGATTTCTTGATGATAGCTTTTTTTTTTTTTTTTAAGAATAAGATGGTGTCTAGTTTTGTTTTAATTTGCATTTCTCTAATGGCCAACTTTCCTAACACCATGTATTCAAGAGGCTATCTTTCCTCCAGACTATGTTTTTGGCCCCTTTGTTAAAGATCAAAAGGCTGAATGTGGGGTTGTTTCTGCATCCTCTGTTCTATTGATCTACAAGGTTGTTTTTGTCTCAGTACCATGCTGTTATTGTCACTGTGGCTTTGTAGTATAACTTGAAATCTGAGATTGTGATGCCTCCTGCTTTGCTCCTGCCCAGGCTAGCTTTTGCTTTTCTCAGTCTATTGTTACCTGTGAATTTTAGGATTATTTTCTCCAGTTCTGTGGGGAATGATAGTGGTATTTTGATTGGGAGTGTGTTAAGTCTGTATATCAGTTTTGGAAGTATGGCCATTTGGACAGCATTGGTTCTGCCTATCCAGAAACAGGAGTTATTATTCCACTTTCTGATACCCTGTTTGGTCTTTTTCAGAGTGCTGAGGTTTTTGTTGTAGAAGTCTTTTATTTCCTTGGTTAGGTTAATTCCTAAGTATTTAAATTTTTTTTGATGCTACTGTGAATGGTATTTTCTTGATTCCTTTCTCAGTGAATTAATTATTGGTGTACCAGAACCCTATTGAATTTTTTTGTGTTGATTTTTATTTTCTGCTACATCACTAAATTAGGCTATTAATTCTAAGAGTTGTCTAATGGAATTTTTGGGGTCTTCTATAGGATCGTGTTATCTGCAAATGATGATAAGTTGACTTCTTTTCCTATACATACCCTTTTATTTCCTTCTCTTGATTGATTGCTTTGACTAATGTGTCAAGTACTATATTGAACAGGAGTGATGATTGTGGATATTCTTGTCTTGTTCCTCACTGTAGAGGGAAAGCTTTCAGCTTTTTCCCATTTAATATGATGTTTTTAGTACTTCTGTCATAAATGGCTTTTATCAGATTGAGATACACTCCTTCTACAACCTGTTTTATTCAGGGTTTTTAATCATAAATGGGTGTTAGAGTTTATCACGGGTTTTTTTCTGCATCTATTAAAATGATCATGTGAGGGCCAGGGATCTAACTCAGTGGTGCTGCACCTGCCTCGCAAGCACAAAGTCCTGAGTTCAATCTCCTGTACCAAAAAAAAAGCAAATCGATAAATGCAGTACAACACATAAATAAAAGCAAGAATGAAAATCATATGGTCTTTTTTTTTT